CCAGTGGCAATATGTACATTCACAATGCGGTGCTGTCGTCATCACTATCTAGTTCCAGAACATCTTCATCACCCCGAAAAGAGCCTCCCTATCAATTTAGTAGTCACTCCCCACGCCCTCTCCCCTTAGCAACCACTAGTCTGCTTTCTATCTCTATGGACTTGCCTATTCTGGACATTTCATAGAAATGACATCAAACAATATGTGGCCTTTTGTGTCTTTTATTATTTTTTTGAAGGCTCATCTGTATATCATGTACTAGTACTTCACTCGATTCATACTCGATGTATTGGGACTTCATTCTTTTTTATGGCTGCACACTATTCCACTGCAGGGACAGACCACAGTTTGTTTATCCATTCATCGGCTGCTAGACATTTGTGTTGTTTCACTTTTTGGCTAATGTGAAAAGTGCTGCTATGAGCACTGATGTACAAATTGCTGTTAAATGAATTAATGAATATATCACTCTCCTGGCAGTTAAATCCCTTTCTTATGTAAATATCTTCAACCATTAACTAAACACTATTCAGTGCCTCGTATTATACACCCGGACTAATCACATTTAACCCCAATTTACCTCCTTTGCACAAAAGAGACACAGAGAGGTTAAGCAACTGGCACAAGGTCACAGAGCTAGTGAGAAGCAAGGCTGGGATTCAAACCTATGTCTATTGGTCAGCGAGGTCCATGCTCCAAACCAGAAGGGTCATGGGTTTATTTTAGACAAGTCCTAGATTAGAAAGTAAGGTGTTTCTTTATACACCCTCAAACTTCACAACCCACCAAGCAGGTCTGGCTCTAATGAAATAGTAAACCCAGGCGTGATGAAAACTACAGTTGCTAGCGGATCCACTTTTCCTGTCATTACGATTAACAAAACAATCTCCCCAAGCCTGGCTCGTCTGGGCTACACTCAGCCGGAAGTCAGTCAGGTCAACCTCATTCTAGATGCTGCACCAATTGGAGCAGCCACGAAGGAAGGGTCATGAGGCAGGAAGACCTGTGAGGGTACCAGGCCACTCTGCCCGGGTTCAAATCCTGGTTCTGCCACTCAGCCGGACAGGAAGCCAGTCACTTCACCACCCCATGCCTCAGTTTCCCTACCTGTAAAACAGAAACAGTAACAATACCTACCTCACAGGATTGTTCTAAGGATTAAATCAGTAACTCTAACGATAAAAGTACTTCGTGCATTTTAAGGAAATAACAGAAGATAGTATTACCATCATCTCTGTTGGAGGCACAAACCTTGGTTGACCCCCGGAAGAGGTCTTCGGACCTCCGAATTCTCAGATTCTTTGCCAGAATATAGCTGTCTTATTGATCCCAACCCAGAAGATAAGCCCTTAAATATCGGCGCTGTAGCTCATGTCCATGGACCTCAGACTCTCACATAGAACCCTCGGCTGAGACATGGGTTGCTTCTGCTTATCCTGCACAAAGAAGCCAGACTTCCTTCTGCTCTAAAACAGATGCTTTCTGCTCTCAACTCACCCAGGGCACGCAGTCTCACCTTGCTCACACCCTCTACCACCGATGAAGGGTTCTCTCCTCCAGAACCCACAGCCTCCCCAAGAGGCATCCACACACCCACAGGAGATGTTAGTTTCCGTAGCAAATGAACCTGTCTTGCACTTCATCCAGTAAGAATATCCAGCCCATCTGATCTGGGTTTCAAGGTTCTTTTTTCCCCCTTCATCTCAAGCACCAGGAAACTTTTTTTAACCCTGAAGNAACTGTGGAATGGGATTCAGAGTCTACCCTTAGCCAATTCGGTAAAAACGCCACAAAGTCTCAATCTTCAGTGGATGCTTGTGGTCTCGATCCGCTAGTGCCCACATTTGTGTGCCACCCTCGATTTACTGGACCTTCACATGGTCTACCTGCCTGACTCTCCACCCAGCACGAGGCCCTGCAGGTGTCAGGTGTGAAGGTGAGACGGGGAATGGAGTGGCTCTGAGACTCAGACCGGTGAGAGTTTAAGACTTAAAAGCATTGTGCAGAATATGCCAATATCCACCCGGTCAACAGAAGCAAAGTGACGTTTTCGTACGTAAGCATGCCCAGTACGCAAAAGCCAAATGCACACACAGCAGCAAAGGAGGGCGGCGATGACCTCCCCAGAGTCATTTGTCCCCAGTGCGAGAAAAGATTCATCCACAAGGATCTAAATGACAAAAATGGACCAGTTTCAATCCAGAAACCACAGGTTTCAAATGCCCACGGATGACGGTTTGCCCAAGCAAATCCTAGAGAACAGGTATGCATTCCAAGAAGTGAGGGTTGGCTCCCGTGATATGCACCTTAAAAAGAGAAATTTCAGAAACATTGGCTTCCGTGTTCCAGATACTCGCAACCAAAAATAAAACGTGACAGAAACACCGTGCAAGAGTGCGCAGACAGCCGAGTCATCTCCAATGTGATACCTGGACCATAAGGTTGGTTCTACCTGATCGGGCAAGGAGGCATCTCTGCAAATGTGCATACAGGGGCTCTGTTGGGGGCTGCCAGGGCACAGAGGTGGGCAGGGAAGGACTATGGAGACAGTCACGACCCGGGGCAGCCTTCCAAAGTGCGTTCTGCCACAGCTGGGGCTTCCTTACCTTGCCCTGCTTCCTGGTGCTTGCCAACACCTTTGGGGGGGTCCTAGAAAGGAGGCAATTCCACCAGCCCCTGATGCAAGCCTTGCAAAGCTCCCCTATCCAGGACCCCCACAGCCACAGCTGTCTGTCCTGCATGTACCTGCCTCTCTCTGCCCCTTGAGACCACCTACCTAAAATGAGGGACCACCCCCCGCAGACTTCAGACAGAGAACACCTAATATGTGTATTGTAAAAACCTCAGGTAAAGCAATTCAGATCTTTTCCAAGACTTGTTTATGCTGCGAATTGTTCCTGAGACGCTTTCTAAGCAGCGACAGACTTGAAAAGGTTATTAGCTGCTACGGTTTGTTTTCCTTCTAAGGTCCCAACTCAACCAAAAACAAAAATGCAATAAATACACAAAACGCCCTTGAGAGCTTATCTTTCCTACATAGGCCTAACTGGCAAATGGTGAAATTGGGACATCCTGGGTGAGCCTGGACACCTACCCAGGTAGCTCCCAACATCTAGCCCTCAAGACACTTCTGCACCCTATCCTTGAGTTTTTCCTTCACAAAACATTGAGGTTAGAATTCATCCAAGTACAGAAGGAGGGGGAAAAATATCAGGTTTCCTACAAATAATGACTTCTTCACTTAGAAATATAAGTGACGGGGGCTTGGCTGGGGTCACTAAGATCCAAGAGACATTTAGTTTCCGCTTCAAGCCCAACCGTCTACATTCAGAAGCGACAACATTCATCAGCTTGGTCAACACCAACCAAAAAATAGCATAAAATGAAGCTCACCATTTTGGAACATGGAAGTAATGCACAGACCTCACCCACCAAATCCCTACAGTGTGAAAAGAAACGCTTAACTTTTCTAAAATGTCGAATTAGCATATTCTTCCCCTCCACGTAAAGTTTTAATAAACTTGACTCGGATCTGCCTTTATTAAAAAACCTTACAAAAGATGTATTTAAATGCTTGAAAAAATTAACTTTATGCTCTATGCAGATAAACTTCTCTGACTGTACAGCTAATATGGTTATATCCTTTGTTTAAAAAATATTTCTTCCACTAATGACACTTCGTAGGTAGTTCTACGTCAATGATCTCACCGTTCCTCTTGGAACGCGTCCTAAGGAGTTTGCCTGTGGCCGGAAATACCCTCACCAAGCGCCGCTCTCTTGCTCGGAAATGTTTATTAAGATTGTTTGGGGTTTGGTGTTCTTTTTTTCTTTTTTCTTTTCTGTTTTCTGAGAGAGGGCGCTGGTGTGAGGGGACCCGGCCGGCTGGCTGATTGTCACTTGCTGTTGGCACGGTCGAGACTTTCCAGCACTCGGTTCAGGCGGATGCTCAGCAGTCGGACCTGGTTCTCCAGATGTTCCAGCTTCTCCTCCACGCTGGGGCTGTTGGGGATGCCACGCCAGTAAAAGCCCATGGGCCCAGTCATGAAGTAGATGGCCACCACGAAGCACAGCGGCAGGATGGCATTCTCCGGCTCCCCCTCGTACTTGTGCAGGATGTACACGCAGGACATGGAAAACAGGATGACCCGAAACACCCAGAAGAAGCGGCCGAACGCCACGTGCAGGATGCTGAAGGTGAAGCCCAAGGTCAGAGACAAGAACCAGTAGGCCAGGAGGACCACACCCACCAGCAGCAGGGCGCGGGTCGGGCTGCTGGCCACCGAGGCTGGGTTGAAATACTGGGACAGGTTCGAGACTGCAGAACAGAAAAGAGGGACAGCGGCCAGTTATAGGGGGTCCAGGGTTTCCCGACAAGTCAGGGGCGGGCAGCACAGCTCATCTGCTGGGCATTGCCAACCGCCCAAGGAACTAAGCTGCCTCAGTAACCTTCATACTAAGTCCTGGCAGGAGACAGGGCG